ACCAACCAGATATATTCACTATTTCTTGGTGGATATTATGTTATGGATAAGACTCTAATGTAAACAAGTGGAATAAAAACATATTTTTTAGGAACCCAAATATCAAAATTGAATTACAAATCTAATGTAATGTTCATCCTGTATGTAAGTAGAATGAATTATACTATACCTATCTGAACTTCCAAAAGAGCTAATAACTCAGAAATGTCAGGGATGCTCATTGGGTAAATTTTCCAAATTCTGATCAGGAGACAAATCTGATTGGAAAGAGGTAGGAAAAATGAATAGAAGCCACCTATAGTTAACTTTTGTTTTTTGAACTTTTACCTAAACACCACAGGCCTTAGGTATGAAGGATTTTAGGATTAACTACTGTGTTTGCACAAGTTAAAATTCAAAGCTTGGGTTCTGGAGACCGTCTGCCTAGGGTTAAATCACTGCTCCACTACTTACAAATTCTGTGTTGTTAGGCAGCGTAGGGTCTCTGTCAGTTTCCTCCGAATGGAGAAGATAACAGGCCCCACGTACAGGGTTATAAAATGAAATGAGATGATATATATATGTAAAGCACTTAGAATCGTACCTGGCTCTCAATACGCATACTATAAATGCTGACGACAGGCTTTGCAGGCATTAGTGAAGCAACAGAAGCACATTTTTAGCAGCAATCCAAAGCCCTTCATATCATGTGCATTGAATAAACGACTCATTAGGAAGCTGCACAAGCTACAGCCTCCCCTTCCTTTTGTCCAGGAAAGCTGTTTAATACCACTGTAAACACTTATGGCCACCATCAGAATGAGAAAAGCTGAGAAGGATTTCCCTGTGAATAGAGCCGGTGTGTGCAGATGGGACATCTAAAAACCAGTACATAGTTTCTTAGGGGGTGAACTCTCCCCTCTCCTCCCTGAATTCTTAGAATCAGATTGTGATACTTTCTGTGCTCAAGACCCTGCTATAAAGTTGGCCCATAAAGATACTTAAGGCTTGGCACCTATCTTCTCAGAACTTAAAATCACTTAAGAGGATGATGTCAAAATACCTAAAAAGATAACTAAGTAATCCCAGCACATTAGTTTCCTAACATTGCTGTAACATAGTTTCACAGACTTAGTAATTTAGACAATACAAATTTATTCTCTTACAGTTTGGGAAGTCACAAGTCTTACAGTGGATCTTACTGGGCTACAATCAAGGTGTCCATACGGCTTGCACTCCTCTTAGACACTCCTGTGGGGGTATCCATACCCTTGTCTTTTCCAGCTCCTAGAAGCTATCCACATTCCCTGGCTCATGGCCTCCTTCAAAGCCATCAGTGACAGCCTGAGTCCTCACACTGCATCTTTCTGGTTCCCTCTTCTGCCTCTTCATTTTTTAAAAGACTGTTTTATGATTATATCTGCATAATCCAAGATAATCTGCCTGCTTTAAGACCACCTGATTTATAACTTTAGTGCCATCTGCAATCTTAATGCTTCTTTACCCTGTAACCTAACATCCTCTCAAATTCTGGGGATGTGGACATCATTGGGAGGCTATTATCCTGCATTCTGCTCCTAGTAAATGATAATGATCAAGTGAGATAAAGAAATGGCACAAGATAGGATTTCAGTGGAGTTTAAAGTCACTGCAGCTGGGAACAGTCAGTGAAAGCTTAAAGGAAAAGGCAGATCTATTCTGGCCGGTTAAGCATAGTTTTAAAAGTGGAGTGGGAGGAGTCCAAATGAGAAAAGGAATAAGAACAAAGTCTTGAAAATGTAAATGAAATGAAAATGAACCAGACCACAAAGGACGAATATTTTGGCTAAAGGAAAAGTCACAAAAGGGGGAAGCAGAGTGGCTGGGAACCAGCTTGACAGGGGTCGAGAGTTGATTCCCTGTCAAAGCAAACTGACCCCAGTGCGCTTTTTAACATGATAATGTATTCACAGATGACCATCAGGATGTCAGTGCTTTTTCATGTAATAACAGCTGAATGTAATACCATCAGAAAAATCCGTAATTACAGTTCCTGGCCAAATTAAAGTAGGCAGCCAAAACTGTCCCCTCAGATGAACTATAAGAAATGATCAAAATTGGATTTCGTCCATTTTTAACAGGGCCACTCATAGAAATCAAAACATTTTACTAAGAACAAATGATGCCTGTTAAGATCTCTCATATTATATCTTTACTCTGCAAAATAGTATGCAAAAATATTTTTAAATGTGAAAGGGGCTCTTTTTTTCTCCCCATGATGTGGCTGTTTGGTGCTAAAAGTAATGTTACAGGTCAGGTTCTCATATCAGGTGTCGCATCAAGCCTGCTCCTTCATTTTGTTTTCACAAAACGAAAATGACATTTTACAAGGTGCACAGTAGTGAAAGGAGTACTGCATATGCTGTAACGTCCAAGTACTTGTGAAATAGACTCTTCCAAAAATCACTGAATATTTTCAATAGTTCACCTCTAGATTGTTAATCTCAGGAAAATGTATTATGTATACTGGTAAAAAAAAAAAAAATGTAACTGTACAAATCAGAGTGAGAAAAAAAAAGTCAAGAGTGAAAGCCAGTTTCCCTACCTCCAACCCTTGAGCCATGTTATTCCAGTTCTTGCCGCCCCGTCCCAGACAACTGCTGCTTGCAATGTCCTTGTACAGAGTATCTTTACACCCAAATGGTAGTGAGACAAGAGGGAAGAGGGCCGACCACTGCTTTCAAAAGAATGGCATAGCCCTCAAGAATACAAAACAAACTCCTTAGAACCGATGAAGTCCAAGATGGTGGGCGATTCGACTTCCAGGGGACCTTGAGCCTCATTATACCCTCATTATAATACATTAACACATGCTAAATGACATGCCTCATCCATGGAACAGAGTTAAATATCTTCAAAAGACAAGAAAACTGTGAACACAAAATAACAAACTATGTGTCAAAAAACTGAGAATGGTGTTCAGTAGTGAGTGCCCCAGAGATCACAGCAGTGGTCTTCAAAGTGGGCTCGGCTTACCTGGTTTGAGGCACCTGCCAGTGCTCCACTCCACCAATGCCATTCCGCAGACACACCAGGAATCCCCCTGCCTTGAGGTCACCGGCGGCCTCGTGCGCCTCTCATGCTCTTCCCCAGATGTCTGCGGGGCTCACTCCCTCGCCACGCACAAGGCTTGCTCAGATGGCCCTCACACGGGTGGGAGCTCCTTGACCATCCGAGAGCTCACTCTGGCCCCTCCTGTCCTCTACTTCATTTTTCTCCACAACACACCTCACCATCCCACTTCCCTGCCCCCGTTGTTGTTGTTTAGACACTAAGCCATGTCCACCTCTTTTGTGACCCCATGGACTGTAGCCCACCAAGCTCCTCTGTCCATGGGATTTCCCAGGCAAGAATACTGGAGTGGGTTGCTATTCCCTTTCCCAGGGGATCTTCCTGATCCAAGGATCAAACCCAAGTCTCCTGCATTGGCAGGCGGACTCCTTACCACTGAACCACCATAGCTAGGTTGGAAAAGAATCCGCCTGCAATGCAGGAGACTCCAGTTCAATTCCTGGGTCAGGAAGATCCCCTGGAGAAGGGACAGGCTACCCACTCCAGTATTCTTGGGCTTCCCAGGTAGCCCAGCTGGTAAAGAATCCGCCTGTAATGCAGGAGACCTGGGTTCAATCCCTGGGTTGGGAAGATCCCCTGAGAAGGGAAAGGCTACCACTCCAGTATTCTGGAGTATTCAGGGTCAGACATAACTGAGCAACTTTCACTTTCACCATGAAAGCTCTGTATATTACTTATAATTCTTGCTATTACAATACTGTGATGAACATTTCTTGGTCTATTTTCTTGTGCATGTTCTTGTACTTAGAAGCAAAAATATTGAACCATGAGTGAAGCACATCTTTAATTTACTAGATACTGCCAATCAACTCTCCAGGGTGGTACTTATTCATACTCCCACCTGTTGTTTCACATTCTTCACAGCACTCCACATTTTCCGACTTTTCAGTTTTCTGCCAATCTGAGTATGAAATGGTATCTTCAGTTGCAATTTGCATTCCATCACTAGTGAATTTGAGCATCTTTTCATGTTTATTGATCATTTTAATTTTCTCTTCTGTGAATTACCTGTTCATATCTTTTGCTAATATTCTTGATACCAATTTTTTGTCACTTAAATGTGCAGCATGTAACTTCTCCAGTCTCAATGGTCTTTTAACTATTTTTTATTTACAGTAAAATTTATTTTAATTGATTTTAACATAATTTCAAAGTAGGTCTTTGCTCTAAGATAAGCAAAAGAACAGATATCCTAAATCTCATTAAGAGATCCTTTTCACACTGTTCCTTGAGTAGGGCATTGAGCTTTGGGGGTTAAGTAGGGCACAGAGCTTTGGATGCCCCAACGGTGACACCCTAATATCCTATCCCTGGAGATTTTACATAGAGATACAGAAAGAACAGATAACACCAACATACAAGAATCAAATTGTACGAGGGTTTGATAGGATGGAGAAGGCAATGGCACCCCACTCCAGTACTCTTGCCTGGAAAATCCCATGGATGGAGGAGCCTGGTGGGCTGCAGTCCATGGGGTGGCTATGAGTCGGACATGACTGAGTGGCTTCACTTTCACTTTTCACTTTCACACATTGGAGAAGGAAATGGCAACCCACTCCAGTATTCTTGCCTTGAGAATCCCAGGGATGGGGGAGCCTGGTGGGCTGCCATCTATGGGGTCGCACAGAGTCAGACACTACTGAAGTGACTTAGCAGCAGCAGCAGCATGATAGGAAGGAACTCTTGTGTTACATTCTACCTACCTCCTTAGGGTTGTCATGATAATGACTGATTTTTTTCTCTGCAAAGCTCAGTGCTGTCTTCTTGTCTGTTTTTGTTCTAAGTAAAATGTCAGAGTACATGAAAATGCTATACTTATTTATCTTAATAATAAAAATAGTGGAAGTTTACAAATTCTTCATGAGTCCAAGCTGGGCCATGACTATTACTGATGGAGTTCACCCAAGACACTAACTCCAAGTTTGGCGACCATCGGCAAGCTGGCACAGTGGCTGAATCTCATTCCCATAATGCCAGCCAAGGTTCCAGAAGTAACTAGGAAAAGTGAAATGTTCTGGATCCTGAGACATCTGATACATACCCAGGCCCACTCGGCCACCGCAGAGGAGCCCGGCAGCCAAGGACAGGACACTGCCTACTTTTGCATAGCCACTGATCCCACCAGGGGCAACCAGCGCTGCACAGCCAAAGTCAATCCAATGTAAAGGCACCAGTGGGCTGGAGGCCTGCATTGTTCTCTTTCATTTCATTCTAACAGAATTTTACACTCGGCCTGCACCTCCTTCCCGAACACCTGGGCCAACGCCTGTCTTTTAACTTTTTTAACGTGTTTTTTTTTTTTAAATAATTAATCCAGCTTTTACAAATGTTTCTTTGTTTGTGGCTGTACTGGGTCTTGCTGCTGTGCATAGGGTTTCTCTGGTTGTGGCTAGTGGGGGCTCCTTTCTCTTTGTGGCATACAGGCTTCCCACTGCAGGGGCTTCTCTTGGGGTGGACCACTGGCTCTAGGGCAGGTGGGCTTCAGTAGTTTCAGCTCAAGGGCTCTAGGGTGCAGGGTCAGTCGTTGTGCTGCATGTGGCCCCTCAGCATGTGGGATCTTCCTGGACTGGGGATTGAACTGGCATCCTTTGCATTGCAAGGCAGATTCTTAACCACTGGACCATCAGGGAAGCCCTTAAACTGTTTTTTGATGTACAGAAGTTGCCATTCCATTTCTTTCTTTTTTTCTTTAAATTTATTTATTTATTTGTCATTTAGTTTTATTAGTTGGAGGCTAATTACTTTACAATATTGTAGTGGTTTTTGCCATACATTGACATGAATCAGCTATGGATTTACATGTGTTCCCCATCCCGATCCCCCCTCCCACCATTCCATTTCTTAAAGACAAATTATTACATATTAATGAGTTCTTAAAGGTGTTTAGAGTTTTTCTTACATACATAGAATTAAAAACACATTTTAGGATTCGTTTTTTCCCATAGGCATCTATTTTTCAGCACAATCTATTACTATATTTTAGAATAACAGTGTTCCCATGGCACAGATATGGGGAGATACTTCTCTAAAAAAGAGGAAAGGACAGTGGGCTTTTGAGGAGGGTAGGGACCTGATGGGAAGAGAGTTTGGGAAGAGAGTTTAGGAAGGGAGAACACTATTCTCTCATTGTTTTATGTGGGAAAGTTTGCCTCTGCCATCATGAGTTCACAGTCATTCAAAAAGTCTTGACTGACTTATACAATGGCTAAATTTATCCCTCCCACGAAAGTCTTGTTTTTTCAAAATATCTGACTAGGCTGACATTATTTCGCATGTTACTCTGCCAAGAAGGTTCATAGGTCCTAGGGAACTTCTTTCCTGAAATATATTATTGGGAATTATATATACCTAACTTCATATCTGAAAGATTTAGTGTAGCTGTAATACTCTAATTATTCTAAAAATTTTAACCTTCTGTAACTGCAGTGATGGGATTCAGTCAGTTATTTTCATTTTAGTTTACCTAAATTCCTGATGATTATCAATTGATCATTAAATGCCTAAACTCCAGTGTGACTGAGGAGACTTTGAGCCCCAAGTTCCTTTCCTCACATTGTCAAGGGAACATTCATCCTTATCAAGTTTGATCCTTTAAAGATAGAAACAGTAAGAGGCTACTTGTAACTCAATTCTGATCCCCTCCTTCTCTCTCCATTGCAGTCTCAGGTAGACAACGTTGATAATTCAAAAGACGTTTAACTTCCTCAGTGTTTCCTATTCCTTATTCTTTCAACTTCTATTTATCTTAACACATTTCTCAATTCTAGATTAGGAGTTAGTAGTAAGGTTGTCTAGGCATGGTTAGGTGAATAATAAATAGAACATAGCAACAAAAACCATGTCATTAAAACATAAACTAACTTAACTTCAATAGAGACTGCTACTTCTTCAAATATCATTATTATTCACATTGCTTCAATGAAAGGAATTACTGGATAATTGCTAAATAACCAAACTGAGACAATTAGTAAGAGAAATTATTGACATAAGAAAAACAAGCTAGACATAATTTTAAAACACTGAACTTAAATGCCAGTGGCTCCATATGTATGTAAAGGAAAAATAATTTTGTTGTAAATTAACTAATGAACAAACAAGACAATGGTTTGGTTTGTTTCACTGCAAAATACTTGTTTTGATATTTAATCACAGTCTTGTAAACCTCTATCTTTTATGTAATAAAATTGCATCAGTCATTTTCCTCTGCTGATGGATTTAGTTACTGAGATTTATTATAGATAATAAAAAGATTCAAACTGTAAAGTTAATTTTAATACTACAGCATTTCCTACTCCAGGAACCTGTCTAGATTTTTAAAATTTTTCTTCATCATGTCCTAAGGATGACTGTTCTTTTTTTTTCATCCTATCTTGCAACTTGCTGTCAGCCTCTTGGCCAGTCTAGACTGGAAGAATAGTAAGGGCACTCCTATAACCCAGAGAAGTTAAGTGATAATTGGGAGGGATGGTGAAGCTCCTGTGAAGAATATAATGGAAATTCTTAGATGTGAGAATTCTCTAAATAGCATCACCTTAAGGAAATCTCCCACTGAAAATGAATATTTTAATAGTCTTAGGAGTCCGACAGGGACTCCCCTGGTGGCTCAGACAACAAAGAATCTGCTTGCTATGCAGGAGACCCAGGTTCAATCCCTGGGTTGGGAAGATCCCTTGAGAAAAGAAAGGCTACCCACTCCAGTATTCTTGCCTGGGGAATTCCATGGACAGAGGAACTTGGGGCGAGGGGGCGGGGGGGTACAGTCCGTGGGGTTGCAAAGAGTGGGACATGACTGAGTGACTAACACTTCCACTTTCACTTTTAGGAGTCAGATGAATTACCATTGGGCTCAAAAACATTGTTTCTTTTTTCAGACCCTACTAAATGAGTCAATCTTGCAAAATTGGAAAACAAATCTAGAAGTATTTACTATGAAAATACAGATTCCTTTCCTTTCTGTGTGGCATCCTCTTCTAGTAACAAATAGAAACAATGACATTTATTAATATCATCAAGGCTACACAATACATTTATAAGTGACATTAAAATTTAGAAGAGCAAAGTATGGGAAAGGGGAGAGTCAAGGTTTGATAAGAAACTGTATGAATCTGGGAGATAAGGGAGAACAGGGGAGCCTGGCTTGCTACAGTGATGGGGTCGTGAAGAGTCGGACATGACTTAGAGAGTGAACAACAATAACATAAATGAATAAATAAATAAAACATTGGAGAAGTATGCAGAATAAAAGGAGAACAAAATTTTTGGTAGCTCTGACTGATAAGTAAGGTCACAAATTCAAGATATTGTGACTAAAGTTTTTCTTTTTGATCTGGAAATCACAACTATTATCTAAGTGTTTTAAAAAGCTGTGCAATGTAATGCTTTAACAGCATTACAGCTTAAAGGAACTATCAGGTGATCTTCCCTTTTTAGAGTTGGTAAAATAAATCCCTAGCCATTGTGCTTGTTATTTGAGGAAAAGGGCAAGATCCTGATACCTTCTTTTGGTCTAGTGTAGATTTCTCTCCTTCCTGGTCTGACGCGCACACTATTAGAGTCACACCTTTTCTTTACATAATGCACACAGGTCACTGGCCCAGAGGATGCAATTGCACCCAGGGATGGTGAAAACCCTTTCCCTCCTTAGCATAGATTCTCTTGTCAGATCACATCCCCTACTTCTTTCAGGCAGTAACTTAGACTCTAGGTATTGGCAAATGAAGAAGATATAGTCTTTTTCCTTTAGGAGCTCAATGTCTAGCAGAAAATAATACACAAATATAATGCAACATGATACATCTTCTACTATAGTTGACAGAGGTGGAAAAGAAAAATAAATAGTCAAATATAATAAATAATAAAGATTGAAGAGAATAATAATCAGCATTACCTAGAATGTGGGGAAACAGCACTGAAACATGATTGCTAGAAGTTCAAATTAATAAGTGTTCTGGATGGCATTTTAGTATTATGTATCAAAAGCATTTTAAAAAACTAAGAAAAAGTGAATACCATTTACCTTAGCAGCTCCATAGCTCAGGACTTAACCTAAGGAAATCCTCAGACAAATTTGCAAGGATGTTTGTACAAATATCCTGAGAGAGCAGCATTTGTTGTAATAGTGAAAATGCTACAGTTTCCAGTAAGAGGTAGTGATTAAACGAATTTTGCTACATCCATACAACAGAATATTATTATCACCATTAAGAATGCTACAGATTTATATATATATATATATATATATATATAGAGAGAGAGAGAGAGAGAGAGAGAGAGAGTAGAAAATATGCATTTGATTTATTTTTGAGTGAAAAGTAGGTTATAAAGCATAATAGATATGATGAAGATGGCATATAACTTCTTCCTCTCCAAAACCTATAACCCCCATCTAATCATGAGAAAAACATCAGATAAATTCCAATAGTGAGGCATCCTGCAATACACTGACCTACTTCACAGCTGTCAAGGTCATCAAAACAAGGGAAGTCCAAGAAACCGTCAAAACCAAGAGATCCCTAAGTAGTGTGTTAGTCACTCAGTTGTGTCTGACTCTTTGCAGCCCCATGGACTGAAGCCCACCAAACTCTTCCGTCCACGGGATTCTCCAGGCAAGAATACTGGAGTGGCTTGCCACGCCCTCCTCCAGGGCATCTTCCCGACCCAGGGATCAAATCTTCATCTCTTGGTCTCCTGTTTTGTCAGGCAGGTTTTTACCACTAACACCCCCTGGGAAACCTGTGTATTTTACATATGTACACACAGATATATGTTATATATATAAATTGTCTTTCTTATAGTAGCTCATCTTTCATGCCCTCTTAGCTGCTTCTTTTCCCCCCATGCCTACCCCAGGCTCCCAAAGCATTCCATTCCTATCTCTCTTACTTCATTATATTTATAGTGTAGCATTGTAACCACTTGCTTACAATCCTGCAATCTCCAGTTTGACAGGAGTTCCTATAGATTCTGTCCTCTACTTTACACTGTATTCCAGGGAGGTAGAAAAGCCTTAATAAATATTTAGTGAGTGAACAACTGTATTTCCACATGACAAAGAAGGAAGAAATCGCGAGAGGCAGCAATCCATGGAGGATATGTTTCTATAAAAAGAAAAAGAAGAAGCTAAGAACTGAATGATTAGTAGGATGAAAGGAAAGACAGACCTAAAGCTCAGGCAGATGCAGTTGTAGGGGCCTCGCCAGGAAAAATCACGTGACAGTTTTGATTGGAATAACCTGGGGAGCTATCACATCAATCTTAATATATGACTGTATCTACAACATACAAGTTCTACACATGTCAATATGGAACAGAATCTAAGATATACTGTGAAGTAAAAAGAGAAAGTGACAGAACAGTGTGCATATCCTAAGTGTGTGTATGAATACATGTGTGTACACACACATATATATACATTCATATACTGCTCACATGTGTGATGAGACCAATAACAAGGCTGTGGAGAAGAGAGAGCTCCTTTTCATCATAAACTTTTATTACCTTTTATTTTAATATCACATACATGCATTAATCTATTCAAAATTTATTTTAGAGGGATCTACAAAGTGAAATTTTGGATTATATTTCTAAGTGAACTTTTAAAAAAGGAAACCATATGCAGCAAGGAAAAAAACATCTGGAATAGGATATACTAAAACGTTAATGGCATACCCATTGTCTGTGCTCATTTTTAATTTTCTCCTTCTCTAGTCTTTTCTGTCTCAGTCTCTAGTTTTGCCAGTTCCTTTTTCCCCAAGGCTCACTCCTTACAAGTGTTCCCTCTCTGGATTCTCTTGGTGATCATATCAGGTTTCATGGCTGGAGGTACCATATATGTAATGAACAAATATATACATCCAGGCTAGATCAGAGCTCCAGACTTAAATATACAACTGTTTCCTCAACATTGCCACCTGAATGCCTAAAACATCAACTCAAGTGTAACATATCTCCAAATGAACTTCCTGCCCTCCCTGGCCTCCAACACACACATCGTGCCATCTTAGTCTATGTCAAATCCTTCCTTGCAGTTGCTCAGGCCAAAAACTAGACTCATCTTCCCACATCCCATATCCAATCTCTCAGTAAACCTTGTTACTTTCACCTCCAGAATGGATCTAGGTTTTGACCACTTCTCACCTCCTTCCAGCTGCCCGCCTGGTCCAGGCCCCGTCTCCTCTCATGTGGATCACCTGGATGGTCTCCAGACTGGTCTCCCCGCTCCTCCCCGCCACTCCCACAGTCTCCCCCCAGGTGGTGATCTATCCACATGAAGGCCAGATCATGTCACTCCTCTGCTCAAAGCTCCCCAGATGCTTCCATCTCTCAAAGGGAAGAAGTCCAAACCATAGGAACAGGTCACTGGGTCCCCCATGACCTGTCACTCCTTCTGACGCTCCCATCCACAAAGCCTTCTCTCTCTCTCATGTCACCACTTGCCCTTCCCTGTGCTCACCCCTCTCAAACCAGCTCAACCCCCTTACCCGTCTTCTTTACACACCTAGCCTGTCCTACCTTCTGCCACGGCGCTGTTCCTTCCTCTGCTCTTATCCCAGGTGTTCTCATGACTCACCCTTTCCCTTTCTTCAAGTCTTTGCTCAAAACTCACTCACTCAATTAGGCCTTCCCTTCTGTACCTCCCTATCCAAAATTGCAACTGCCCATCCATGACCCTATGCCCTTTTCCCCAGGCTATTTTCCCCCATAATACTCATCCTTTCTATTCTATAGAAGTGATTTTGTTATTAGAGTTATTTTTACAATCTGTCATGTCTACATTTGAGTACAAGCTCCATGAGAATGGGGACTTCTGTCTGTATTGTTCACTGAGCCTAGAAAAATATTTGACATATAGTAGATGCTCAGTAAATACAAGTTGAATGCACAAGCTTGTATTAGTTGCATAATAAGAAATGATTTAAAAGTAAAAGTTACTATAATGAATGAAGGCTACAACTGTCTACTTATGCATAATTTGAAAGTTTCGGGGGGTGTTACAAACATTGTATTTTGTTTTGAAAAGATCTTTCCATTCTTGTTGTCTTAGGAAAAAATATTTTATTTTTAAAGAAATGCTTTAAAGTATTTTTTTTTCTTATTTCTCAGGGCTAAAGTAGAAAAAGGTTTTGTTTTATTTTCACCACGGGAGGGAAGGTAAGCCGTTTTGTTTCAGTGGTTGCACTTTCTACTGCAGGCAGCACTGCGGAGGAATGAGAAACAGCAATGGGGCTAAGCAGCAGGGTTTTACCCTGCCTCCACCACGCACTCACTTGCTTTCAAACAAGGACCTTAACCTCTCCTGAACCTCCTTTTCCACATCTGTAAAGTGGGAATGATACTTACGTCACAGAGTTGTGAAGATTAAATGGGGTCATAGCTAATATTTGCTGGGTGCTTACATCACAGAGTGGGTAATAGCATGCCTGTTTTCCCAGCTTAGAAAACAGGGGCCAAAGGTTATCCAACTAGTCGGGTAGCAAGGGCAGAGGCCCTGAATGGTAGGTCTGGGATTCTTTCCCCTCTACTCTCCTATGTCTTATCTCTTTCGGAGAGGATAAATGGTGGAAAGAGCATCTAAAGATGACTAAGTGGGGACTGGAGTTTGACTCTCCCCTTAGCACCTGAGAGACTGTTGCCTTGATCAATGTCCCTTGGGAAGTGCACCATGGACATGACTGGGTCATGCATGAACCACCTCAGGCTATCAGAAATCTGGACGAGTTACATAGAATTAGCAATAATCCAGGGCAACATCTCTCCCACATCTTTTTTTTTTTCAGGTATATAATTATACAAAGTCAAATTCTTCTACTTTTGATTTTTCTTTTCGGGTCTCAGCTCAGTTATTTCCATTCCAGAATTTTCTTCCTCACACACGTGCTCCTTAATCTTCTTTCACCTTTTATTAACTCTTATGCAATTACCTCAGGTAAATCTTTCTTCTCCTTACTGACATTCTTTATTGCACCTATAAACCCCAAAACAGCTATGTTCAGGTTGGTAAGCATAAAGAGAGTATTCAAAATACAGCTAAGTTAAGGAGAAGACCAGCCCTTCACTTTGAACTGTTCCGGGCTCAGTGAACAATATGGTGTACTACCCCAGATGGAGATCAGATACCCTCTCCAGCACCTTCTCTTACGGTCCACTGACCTCTGCATTCACATCAATGTGGCTGTGGTGAACAGGGCTTAATGCAGCTGTGGGTGGGCCCAAGTCCCAGTTCTAGCCGGCAGCTGTGAGACTTCGGGCAGTTTCTTAACTCTCACCCCACTTTCCTCATCTGTAATGTGTGCGCTAAGTCACTTCACTTGTGTTCGACTCTTTGCGACCCCATGGACTGTGGCCCACCAGGCTCCTCTGTCCAAGGAATTCTCAAGGCAAGAGTACTGGAGTGGGTTGCCATTTCCTTCTCCAGGATCTGTAATGTGGGATCATAACAAAATCTACCTCCTAGGATTACTATGAGGATGAAATGGGTTAATTCATTTAAATCACTTAGAATGGCTTCAGGGACAGAGCAAGGCCAAAACAAACACGTTAATGGAATTTCCTCAAATATGAATATTCAATATAAATTTTTTTTCTATATTTCTTACTCTTTAAAATACTATTATTATGGAAATGAAAGTGTGAAAGTGTTAGTTGCTCAGCCGTGTCCAAGTGTTTGCAACCCCGTGAACTGTAGCCCACCAGGCTACTCTGTCCAGGAATTCTCCAGGCAAGAATACTAAAGTGGGTGGCCATTCCCTTCTCCAAGGGATTTTCCCAACCCAGGGATCGAACCCGGGTCTCCCGCACTACAGGCAGATTCTTCATCATCTGAATCACCAGGGAAGCCCCAACTATTATCATAACCACTCTTAAAAAAAAAAAAAGCTTTTAAACTACAAATATAGTGGTTAAGTCACATAATTTTTTTTTCAGTCACATAATTAAATACACTTTTACTAGGTAAACTGAAGATCTACCACTCATAGTATTGTTTCTATGGAAAGCTTAAATTCAGAAATTTTTATAAATGACATTTTAAAGCACATTTTATCTAGAAGATAGGGAATGCTCATATTGAAAATGCAAATATACATAAAACTATAACATATGATTGAATTTACCAGAAAAGTCTTTACTTTTTTGAAACAGGATTTATTTACCTATAACTATAACATATGATTGAATTTACCAGAAAAGTCTTTACTTTTTTGAAATAGGATTTATTTACTTATTTCTGTTGCCAGAGCTGCTGTAAATCTGGTACCTCTGAAAAGTATTAGAGGTGACAGGATGTAGAATCTCACTTATTCACGGTTTAGCTTTTGCAAACAGAATCACATGTGCTATTAAAAAACAACAGTGTTTGTATAAAATCACCACTTCAGTTTCTACCATCTGTACTTGCTTGAGGGGTCAATTTCCTGCAGATAAGTCACCCAGCTGAGGAACTCAGGTCTGCATGGGTAGAGGACAAAGAGTGGTGAAGTTAGACTCAAAGTGAGGAAGCCCGCCCGACCAAGCTACTTCCTTTTTATCCCTCCAAATAAGGAAACACGGCAGCACCCTGCAGACGGGGGAGTTCTGTTTATTTTGGAAAGAACGACAACTACAAAATATCTGTTGGTAAGATTGTCAGATTTAGTAAAGCAAAATATAGGATGACCAGTTACATATGATTTTCAGATAAAGAAATACCCTTTCAGTCCCCAATATTGCATGGGATATACTTATATGAATAAAGTATTCTTTATCTAAAATTCAAGTTTAACTGACCATCCTGTATTTAATCTGGTCACCTTATTTGCTGGATGATGAATTATTTCCAGACATATAACTTGCCCCTCCAACACATTTCCATACTTTAAAGAAATACATATGTTTTGTATGCAAAGTATACCAATTTGAGTATGTCTTCAAGGTTTTGGAATCTGCTTGAATTAGAGAACTACCAGTAATCCTCCTTTGTGCTGAAACTGGAGAAGAAGCCTATAATCTCATATAAGTATATTTTAATTCTAATTTTGGTTCAGTACAATTACAGAAATAAATTTCAGAACTGTTTAATTCGTTTTTCTCCCCTCAAAAGTTAAATGCAATTCTCAACTTAACATGAGATAATACCGCCACCTGGAGGACAGAGATAGGTATGTCTAAGAATCAGTGTCATTTCTAATTCTTTAGTCATTGAAGTTATGGTGACACTTGATTAGTAATACCATTCTGCTACTTGCCATTATATGTCTAGTTTTCTTCTCATTTATTCATTCTTTATTGAACACTTTCTAGCTTTCTACTGTATGACAGATACTATGCTAGACTTTGGGAATACAAAGTTGTATAAGACCTAGCTTCTTCCTTCAGGCAGCTAACAAACTGAGTGGGAGAGAGCAGGGGATTACCAGATGTCATCCCAGGTATTCTTGCCCTTTAAGGTTAAAATGAAATTAATATAAACCTCCAATATTCAGATGGTGGAAAATTCGTGTCTTTCTAAGATTGCAGGGGAAACTGTGGCTTGCAGTTTTCTTGTTCATCTTGGACTCATAGCTCCTGCTTCATCTGACATAGTTCAGTTTATGGACTGCTTTATACATGTGTTCTATACATGCTGCCCCTGTTCTCCCTATTCTTTGTTGTGGTGCACAAGCTTCTCACTGCATTTCAGAGCAGACTCTTAACCACTAGACCACAGGGAAGCCCTATTTTGACATCTAGAAGCATGGGGAGGTGTGTGTGTGTGTGTGTGTGTGTGTGTGTGTGTGTGTAATTAGAGCCACACCAGCAATGATAAACTGAATAACTTCCTTGCTCTTTTTAAGGTCCTTCTTCCCATCATTTTGACTCTTCTTCCCATCTTTTTTTTTTTTTTTTGCTGTCCATTTGCAACACTTCTCCACCCCGATCCTCTACCACAGTGAAAAATTTTCTCCAATTTATTATACAGAATGATTCAACGTTCTCAACTTCATATTCCCAAACTCAGTGTCACGTCCACTTGTGCATATACAACACTCATTATTGTATTATGACACATATGGACCATCTACCTAGTCTCACCCTTTATTTTTTGCCCCTATATAAGTGTTTATTTCCCCCATTAACAGGAATTACAGCAACTCCTTAAAAGAATGATAACAGTTTAGGCTTTATGTAACATTTTAAAATTTCCTTGTTGCTTTACTACCCCCCCCCACTTCCTCCTTTTCCTTCATCCACCCCTGCAGGTATTTTTTTTTTTCTGAAAAGAAACATGATTTTAAACATTCATATCTTACTCA